ACTGAAGGGATATTTAATGTAAGTGGAGCTTTGAATGTGAATTTTGTTTCTACAAGAGTCACATTCAAAGCCACTTGGATTAAATATCCCTTAAGTTATAGCGGTGCAAATGGCCGTCACTGGATTCATCCTCTCCACTTTTTGTTTTAGTTCGTGACTACACCGCTGTGCGCCCATATCGCCGTTTCTAAACGTCCCCCTCGTTTTTATTCGAACCTCTGACTTCACCGATGAGTTAGCTATCTTTTTTTAGTGAATAGAAAATGACAATGACCGACATAGAATCGTGGATAAAAAAAAAACAGTCATAAAAACGCAGGGGTCCATTTAACGTCATAATGCATATGTCATCTGAATTAATTTGTTGAGTGCAGCGTCGTTGATTGTTTTGAATTCCAAGACTGTGAAAGAAGTGATAAGTGCATCATCATAAGCAGCCGATTTAAGAGTTGTTGCCACAATGTGTGACCAGGCGGCAAAAAATAAATCGGTTAAAAGCGAATTGCAGTGCAGCCACAAACCAGCGAAATCTACATCAAAAACAGTACAGAAACACAAATTTTGATTTTGTTGGAGATAAACAACCTAGAAATCGTAACACTGTATGATGTTCCATACATGCTCGAGGGAATTATAAATAACTTGATCAACATATGACAGCCATTTAACTGGAAAAATGGACATTTTCAAAAAGCAAATTGGAAAGTGTTTCAGTCAGCTCATGAGTCAGATACGCCAGATCATCTATGAATAGATTATAGACTATTTTATTCATTAAGTGATTCTCACATAAATATATGGAAATAAAATGTATAAAATGTTAGTTTATGAAGTTTTAGAGCACTGCCTTATTATGAAATAATTGAAATGTCAAACCAGTCATTCAAAACCGAGATTCAAACGGCCTGCCAAATATTAGTTCAATGACTACACCGCTATGGCAGCACCGTTGGAAATATCACTTAAATTTGAAACGAATTTCAATTTCTTACAAACTGCAATTGGCAATAATTTCGACGTCATTGATCACGTACATACACTATTTAAATAATTTCACTATATAAAGTAACTTTTATCGCGCGGTAAATTCAGACGCGGGCGATAGGTTGGTGGAAACGTGCCTTTATAAGGGGAAAACTGTTTATTTTTGAAAACAATGTCGAATGGACGCCATTATATTATAGGTATAGTTAGTTCATTTTTGAACTAGAAGAGTCCGCTGCGCATAAAACGTAATAAGTATTTTTGGCCTTGAGTATCGTTAACCACACCCTCGGGCGGTAAATGACACTTTCCGCCATTAATACCCAAATAACTATTAACTATCTACCAAAAGTAGCTTAAGGCTTAAGTAGCTTGTTTTAGTAGCTAGCTACTTTTCACAGTAGCTTATGAATACTTGACACACATTACCAAAAGCTACAGCTACAAGCTACTTTTTTTTCAAAGTAGCTTGAATAAGTTATTAGCTACCAAAAAAGTAGCTAAGCTAGTAGCTTAACTACTTGGTAGCTAGCTACTGCCCAGCTCTGGCCATAAGTTTCAAGTTTCATTTTGACAACACAACGCTACTGGACAGCCAACAGTATCGTTAATTTCATACGACACAGAGAATATGTCATCCCTATATTCCAACCCGATATCAAAATTAATAAAATAAGTTCATTACCCCCTTAAACCAAAAAGCAGCACTATTTTATGCCAACGGTTTTCGAGATATTCGCAAATTAACCGTAAGAGCGTGATGTCATAACCGCTCGGATACCGTAGAATCAGACTCTTATAAAATCCTGCGACTTTCATTTAAATACGGGTTGACTCAAATACGTGAAACATGGCTTTTGGGTTTGAACCAAAGTTACACAAAAGCAGAAACTTTTGAGCTCCACGCGGTTGTGACTTCACGTCTATGGTGTATTTTTTCCAAAGATGGATTTTGAGATTGAAAACTTTGATACCACAGAACAAATCTTTGATACATAAACAATACTGCTTACCCTGATTGGTCGCAAAATGCCGTGTCCCCAGCAGGTTGGAATTTTACATGTATGTTGTGCAAATGGCATGTTGCGACCAATAAGCGGCATTGCTATGTTTCAAAGTTGCCAATGTCAAAATCTATCTTGGGAAAAAATATACTTAAGGTTTTGTTGTAAACTCTATAAAGACTGATATCTTTTGATAGAAATCCGGCAGCGAGGCGAGGTTTTGACCAATAAGCGGCATTGCTATGTTTCAAAGTTGCCAATGTCAAAATCTATCTTGGGAAAAAATATACTTTAGGTTTGGTTGCAAACTCTATAAAGACTGATATCTTTTGATAGAAATCCGGCAAAGAGGCGAGGTTTCCGATGTTGTTCTTGGATTTTCTTTTACATTATAAACCAAAAACGTATTTTTGGAGTGACTCCCTTCAAGACCTTCATTCTAGAGGTGGAGAACTATCGATAGACCCGAACATCGATATTTATCGATAGTCGGGACCTTAACTATCGATTAATATCGATAGTTTTCGATAGTAATTAGTTACAAGTTATAAGGAAATATTAAAGATATCTGTACGTCATATGAATGTAAATTACATTAGTTAGCAAAGGATAGATAGATAGACAAAAACCTTATTTTCTTTTTGATGTACTAAAAATATGATTCTAGGAAATAGTTTAATGACCTTTACACGTCAACATCTATCATTTGCGGAGAACTTTTTTTTTCCGAAAATGAAAATATCCTATTCTGAAAGCCTAAAATTTTTGTATAAAAATCATTATTATTATCGATTATTTCAACATTCTTCAAGAACTTTTGTCAGAAATAATGGCACTACGCACCACAGTGATGAAAGTCTTTTTAGATTGCTTTTTATGAAAAAAATCCATTTTTAAAATCAGCTCTTCTACATTTAAAATCGACAAAAAAATTAACTCAAAAGCACAGCCTGAATTGCAAGCATCCCATCGAGGCCTGCGGGTGACGTCACCGCTATAAGGTACTGATAATTGTGACGTCACTCACAGGCCTTGCCGACTCAAGAACTGGCAAATTTACGTGTTATGAGGATGAGCAATCCTAGTTGTAGGTATTCCTTTCAAGAGTTTCAAGCACTCGAGCTACTCGCCCCGGTGTTAGTCGCCCCCGATTTGCAAGGAACAGATGCGTGGTGCAACAAACACTTTCAGAAAGGAATAAGCGCGTAACGCCCCAGAGCTGTTCCGGAGCTCCACCTAGGTATGAAAGGAATACAACTCCTGTTAGTAGTTTACGATTCTTGTTTCTGCAGTTCAGTTTTGTGCATGTGCATCTAACCAAACTTTCGCTTATTAATGGGCGTTACAGCCAACTATCGAAAACTATCGATGGTTGAAAAAAACTATCGATATATTTCGATAGTCGATACTATCGATAGTTATCGATAGCGCCATCGATAGTTCTCCACCACTACTTCATTCGATTTTTTTCATGAACAATGTAATGTAAGTATACCATTCGTGCTCCTTTTATTGTTGATTTTCAAGCCCTGATTTGTCGTTCTTTTAGATGTTGGAAATTTAAAATTTTGTGTGTGTTCAATTTTAATGGCATGCAGCCGTTTCATTTAAAATTGATGAAAAATTTTCTTGCCTCGACTAGGATTTCAACCCAGGACCCTGGCAATTTCCAGTGTAACGCTGTACGAACTGAGCTTCCAAGAGCTGTTTCATTTGTACCTTTTCGGTCAAGTCTTGCATCAATTTTAACTTGTTAGTTGTGGAAGCAGAAAAAAAAAAGATTAAAATTTTAGTTTGCCATAATTATAATTTGTACACCATTTGCTTTTAGATGTCAAATAATGTCCATACGGTGTCTGTCTAGGTCTAGGCTACGTAATCCCAGCAGTGTGCTTTATATGTATAGGGTGCTGTCTTTTATTAATCGATGTATCCATCTGAATCCACCATAAAGGCCGGGGCCGGGACACATCTATCATACATTCTTCCGATCCGACTCCGATCATACAATCAAGGTCCTTATTGTTGGAATAGGCGAGCAGCGTTCCAAGAATAAGGACCCTGATTGTATGATCTGAGTCGGATCGGAAGAATGTATGATAGATGTGTCCCGGGCTTTATAAGACAGCCATTCCGATTTTCTATGAACTAGAAAAAAGATATACTGGTCATCGATGGATCCAACGGTGAAAAAAAGAAAGCGCCGATACTGGACAATAAATATAACAAAATATTGAAAGGATCGCCAGATTATTCCCGATTCCGATTATTCGACAAGCGACAAGACGTCAAACACGGAATAAGAATAATCAAAGGCGGAATAAAAACGGTCAAAGGCGGAATAGAAACTGCAGAATTTTCATTTTTGGTCCGGAAGGAAAAAGTATAGTATGGTTCTATAAAGTAGAATTTGGTGTAGAAAAAGTCGCGATTGTTTCTAAGTACAAGTCAAGAGGTGGAACATCTTCTTTCTAGAGCAGTTAACAGTAATTTGGTTTGATCACTGGACATGCATACATCCTCATCGTAATTAATTGCTTGTTCAATTCACTTGCAAAAGATAAACCCATTGAATTACAAAATCACTACTAATGGGATGAGACTAGGAAGAGAGGGGATCGCCCAGCATTATCCATTCTGAAAAAAAAAATCATCCAAGGGATCTTCTGGACATAAGTCACCTAACAGCACTATCTCAGCATCTACATAATTTTTCTGTAATAAAAGTCAAAGAACTAGAGTACCTATGTAATATTTCATCTATTGTCTTAACTGTGGTGAAACTCATTTCTGTTAATAAGTTCCATTGTGTAACGGTATTATGGTCAATTTTAAGTTAATTTCAATAAGCTTCCCATGCTTTTTTTTTAATGCAAATAATGCAAGAGGCTCCTCTAATTTCCAACAAAACTCGGGCTGCCCCATTATATCATCAACAATAATTATTTTTATACACTATAAGTTCAATAGGCCAATTTGGTTTTATTGAAATGAAAATGTTAAACTTCTTACCTGTTCAGTAATCTGCATAGTGTTCAACTTAATCAAGTGCGGCAAATACGAAACAAGAAACGATACGCAATCTCCCGCCAAAAAAACGGGATTGTTGTCAATGGATATTTCTTTAACATTTGGAGATTTTGCTATACTACTTATATCTTCAACACTAAAAAGTTATTATACAATTTTGTGCTGTATTTATTTTAAATTTGTGCTTGTCTTACTACCACTTTCAAAGCATCAAAGTAAGCGATAAAGTAACTTTTTTTGTCAAAATCTAAAATCTTACCACACGGATTTGCATACAGTCGCAATGGCACATATTGTTAGAAGCTTTTAATTTCAAATTCACAGCTAACATAAGTAATAGAAATCATAGAAATCACTGGCCTTAAATAAAGGTCACTTTATTTTTAGATTGTACCCTTTTATGAAATGATGCATTTTTGCCTAAATTATCACACAAGTTTATAATTTTGGTTCAAGTCTGTCTTGTAACGCGATCACGCGATTCAATAAATGGATAATTCGATTTGCCATTTTCCAGTTCGGGCAACAAACTTCTAATTACCACCCTACAGTTTTGATTGAATAAATTAACTCTTTATATTGATTTTAGATTAAATTTTATGATACATGAATTGAAAGACATTATTTAAAATTGCTTTTGGTCTTCGGTTTTTTGACTCAAATCAGTGTATTTTTTTCTACACGCAAATGTAGATGAGCTATGTCAGTGGGTGCTTTCGACATGCAAGGTTAGAAAGAAACTTCTGGTTTCTGCAGGCCTAAGATAACTCATTGTGGTGTTGCAATCTGCATTAGAAGCAAGACTGAGTATGTATCTCTTAATTTGAAGGCTTTCTCCACAGAACTGCACTACGAGGACTTAAATGCAGATTATCCTATTTTATAGATCCCTCCTTGGTAATTTGAATTTATTTATAGATACTCTAATGCTAATCCTAAGAAAACTGGAATTCTTCAAGTTCTATATATTTCACGGCCTGACAAAAATCTTGGGTTCGTTTCGTTGTTTCGTCGTTTCGTCCAATTAACACAGCAATAATTTATTCCACGTAACAATACACTCTGACACTAATTACTTTAATAACTAACTCAACAATTAAACTCTTAACAAAAATAATCACTATTTAAATCGTATCACAGTCAAACTGAAACTTAAACTTACAAACTAAAACTCGTCCTTATATATAGCTGTAATTTATTCCTGTAAATTCCAGAAGAACCGCGATCGACGTTGTGCCCGAACATCACGTAAAATCTCGAATCTGCTATGCGATTCTTGACACACTAGCGGCCGTTCCACTGCCCTCCTCTTAAGGTTGATCGTCCCGATCAACTTCACGCCCATGATATTTCGTTAACCTGTCCAGATGTACAACTTTCATCTTACTCCTGGTGTTTCGTTGGACTCGATAAACCAAATCATTGATCCTCTTGATTACGGACGCTACTTTGGTGAAAATAAACAAACAATCGGAAACGCAGTGCCGTAACCATCAACACAACTAATAAACAATTAGTTAGCAACCACAATGAAACGAAGTTTTTAATTTTAGCTCTATCCAAATTTCCACATAAAATGCTAAAAAAAACGGCATGAATAAAAATTTGGGAGAAGTATTTTCTTGCATTTTTTTCGGAAAATGCCAAAATTAAATAATCCTCAACGTTATGGTCTTCAGGTCCACCTATGTTATACTCTTTCTTAAAATTTACAATTAGTCGGAAATACTTAACATATCAGCAAGTTTTCAAAATTGATTGCTTTTTTGAAAAAGCTCAATGTAAGATACCAGGCGAAAAAGTCGGCAATTTTCTATAATCACACTCTCTTTATCGTAGTTTTTGTTATTAATAATTGTGTATCTACCTATCTTGGCTAGATTATTTATTTGATCAATAAAGTTTAAAGCTACTGTTGAATTTTCTTCTTTTTTCAAGAACAAATACTCGCCTAAAAAATTTTGTGTGCACCTCGGCCGAATGATCAACTTTACGGCCTTGGTACACAAATAACTATTGTAGGGTCCTTCCCATGCTGAAGACAATTTCGGCGATACTTCTTTCTTTCTAGCTGGATTATACAGCCACACCAAATCACCTTCTTGCAATCCGGCTGAATTGGCTTTCAGGTCGTATCTGGTCTTCATCCGGTCACTGGCTAGTTGAATATGCTCCCCAGCAAAATCATGGATACCCAGAAGTCGTGCCCTTACTTCGTAGGCATAGTCTCGAATTTCTTTTCGTTCTTCTTCAGGTATCCCAAACATCGGATCGCAAGGTAACCTGAGTTCTCTTCCAAAAACGATTCTGGCTGGACTTTCACCTGTTGACTCGTGAACAGCTGCTCTGTAAGCCATTAAAAATAGAGGCAAATGCTTGTCCCAATCTCGCTGGTTCCTTGCGACCACTTTTGCCAGGTGTTCCTCTATGGTCTTATTGAATCGTTCTACCATGCCATCAGACTGTGGATGTAAAGGCGTTGTCCTTGTCTTACGAATACCCATGATCTCACAAATTTTCTTAAAGATGGCAGATTCGAAGTTTCGTCCTTGGTCTGGATGTAACTCTAGTGGCACACCATGACGACTAAAAACTTCGTCCACTAGCACCTGGGCAACAGTGATGGCTTCTTGATTGGGGATAGCGAAAACTTCTGGCCATTTACTGAAGTAATCCATGATAACTAAGATGTATTTGTTACCACGCTCTGACTCTGGAAACGGTCCGGCTACATCTATCGCTATTCTTTCAAATGGAAGACCACCGGCGTATCCAGCCCATGCGTCTGGGGGGGGGTAATCAGCCCATTTTTTCCCGGGTGCCACGCCCAAAAACGTTTACTTTGAGCCTTCAAAATTTTTTTTTTCTACGAGAGTGAGGACAATTAAACAGTGCGGAAAATCGATTTTCTCGCACGGTGCGGAAAATCGATTTTCTCGCACGGTGCGGCGAATTTTTTTCCGCACGGATATCGGTGCGGAAAAATCTAAATCTTTTCCGCATGGCTGTCAAAAAAAAATCAATAAATGACTACAAATTATGTAGGTATATGCAAGGCAGTGTTGTCAATCTGAATTTGTGAAATTGCACGATATGCTGGTAAAATTACACGTTTTTACACGCTTTCATTTTTCACAATTACACGATTTTGACACACGATCTTGGTACCCAATCTGTAACATCAAGAAGCAAGTATTTTTTTTTGTGATTTTGGGAAATGGGTTAAATCGTAATCCAGTCAAATCTGAGGGTTAATGCTCCTGATCATAATTCCTCAACGAAAAATAAAAATGTGGCAACTACAGAAAAGCGTTCCGAAAGTAATCGAATTACTAATTACTGGTTCCTGGAAAAGAGGTTACTTTTGGACCTCAGTTTCCTGCAAGGATACTACACACTACTACTATAGGATAGTCTATCCTCATAAGGCCTGTGTAGTTCAATCTGAAGCCGCCGCTGCCATGCCAAAATATCAGTGATGACGTAGACAGCGTGTCGTTTCTCGTCTTCACGTAGGGTGTTTGTACCACAGGTTATGATTCCGCGGGCTTTTCCTTTATGCAAAACTTGGTTTCACTACATTAATTAATATTCTGAAACAACTCTTTCTCGTTTTTGGTAATCGCCGCCATGTTGGTTTTCAACTGTTTTCAACCATTGTCGACGTCATAACTAAGTTTTCAGCTGTTTAAACAGCCTACGTCAAGGCGAAAAACGCCATGCTGCTTACGTCACAACTGGTTAGAGGGGGATTTTTTACAAACAGGCCTTATGAGGATAAGCCATCCTGTAGTAGTAGTAGTGTGTATCATCCTTGGGTATATGTACCTACTTATTTCCGCACGTCTGTAAAAAAACTATTGTACCTAACACATGCGGAAAATCTGTCTTCCGAACTTGGCTGCTTCACCGAATTCCGCTACGCGTCTTTGGGTGAACGACAGACTCGTGCGGAAAAATTCATTTTTCGCACTTGTTAGGTAAATATATTCTGTACTACCAACAAATAACGAAACCGAACTCTGATAGCGAATTCCATTGGAATAAAGGTTAGTGCGCACCGAGTGTATTCGTATCTTATTCTACCAGCTTATATAAGAAAGAGATAAAAATACACTCTTTCGCACTGATTTTACCAATGGAATTCGCTATGAGAATCGCCTAAAACTTTTCAATTATAGGCATAGCGAATTCTATTGGTAGGATTAATACAAAAAAATTATTTATCTCTTTCTTATGCAAGCTAGTAGAGAAAGATATGAATACACTCAGTGTGCATTATCCCTTTGACTAGAATTCGCTATAAATGGCATGCGGGCAGTGCGGACACTGTGCAAACTAGAAAACAAGTTAGGGCCAGTTGCTGAAAAGTAAAAATATAAAAAATAGATTTATTTGTAAGGTGTAGGGTACATTTTTTTCGTCCATCGTAACGATCTTGGGGGGGTAATTACCCCCATTACCCCCCCCCCCCCCCCTTGTATACGCCGGTGTGGAAGACCGACGTTGTACTGTCTGTTTCATGGGCCCCCGAGATCTTAGTTTAGGGCCTTTACTGGTAGCACAGATGTCGCATTTTCGGCACCAGCTTTTAACGTCTTCATGGTAGTGAACCCAGTAAAAACGTTCCCGGATTTTGTCCAAAGTCTTGTTAACCCGAAATGTGCCTCCGAAATGTGCCCATTTATTATCGACAAAGAAAGAAAGAAAGAAAGAATTTGCTTTATTGTCAGAAAATTTTACAATTTTGTGGACAAAGCTGAAAAAATAAAAAACAAAACATACAAATGCAAAAGCACAGACAAAACCAAACACTTGAACAAATAGTTCATGGTCAAAATTTGATTAAAACTAACAAACAAACATCTAGGTCTAACTGCTTATACTGTGCGAGTAAGCATATTATAGGTACTAAAAAAACAAACAAACAATAACTTATAATAACCTATCATGATACAGGAACAAAAACAAAACCTGTGAGTAAGCTGCTCAAAATTTAGAATTAGGAAACCATAAACAACTCGCTTACTGTGTACAAGGCTCTCCTCAGTAAATACACCTTCAACGCCCTGCGAAATTCGAGAAAAGATGCAATGGACCTGATGTTAGGCGGTAGATGATTATGCATCTTTTTAG